GGGAAAAAGGATGCTACGACAGGAATGTTACCATGAGAAGTGTTCATCAGCAGATGGCAGTAACCCAAAGGCTGTGTTTGAGAATTAAGAGCTTGAGTATTGTCCCTTCTGCCAAACTTGGTGAGTGGGGCAACCTCATGAACATGTTGCTGCTATGGTACTTTTCATAATGACAATGAGCGTGGAGGAAACAGCCTGCTGATACTGTGTTGGCCTTGAAGAAATGATTTGGGAGAGCAGCTGGTAGTTTCTCATAGGGGCTGGCTGACGTGCTGCTTCCAGCTGTTGCTGCTGTGACCGAATAAAGAGCAGAATCCTAGTTGTCTATAAAGAACAAGAGTTACCGGGTACATGGAAGAGTGTAAGCTTGTATCTCGCTGCACCCCCGGGACTACTTTCAGGCTACAGAATGTGTCTGTTAGAAAAGCAGGTTTAGAAGGAGAAGCAGGTTTCTGGCGGAGAAAATAATCCATAAGGAGTATTTTATGCATAGTTGTGTTTTTTTACGAAGTTGCTCCAAGTGAAGCAGTTACAGAAATGTAGTTATGGTTCTGGTATTAGTCTGAATTTTTACATATTTATATTCTAGGGATAAAACTGAAGAATTAATGGAATTAACAGATGAGCAGAGAAATGAGCTGATGAAAAAAGAAAGCAGCAGACTCCAGAAAACTGGACACCGTGTAACCTACTCTCCTCGTAAGGAAAAAGCACTAAAAATTTATCTGGATGGAGCACCAAATAAAGATTTGACTCAAGACTGATACTCGCTATAGCATTTTCCCTGGGGAATTTTTTTGTTTCAAATCAAAAGGTTCACTACTACTGTGTAGTGCCGTTATGGCAGGACATTCATTAGGTGTAAAGCGCTGACACCAGCACTGATTGGGCTGTGCTACCAATCAGAAGCGCAGTGCCCCGTTGGGTCGCTGCTTGACTTGGAATCATGTTGTGCACTATAGTCAAATGTACTGTAAAGCTAAAAGGGATGTGCAAATAAAAGATTAGAACTCAAAAGTGGGCGGGGAGGGAAACGAGTGGAAGTTCTTGAGGACAGTGTGCACATAGTAGCTAGTGAAACTAGCCTCAAGCAGGATACTCATAGCTTAATAAAAGCTGTGCAAAGGCCATGAAAGAATGCTTTTTTCTGTTTGTTTCACTGATACACACATTACCTCATCAGAGAGTCTGCAGTAAATGTTAACATGTTGGTTCTAGGGAAGCAGCAGCACAGGGTCGAAGGTGAAATGGAAGTGCTGCATGTGTGAGGCTTCAGAATGTTCTTCCACAAAAGAGGCAGTCAGAGGGGTGTGGGCAGGAAGCTGGCGGAAGACCTTGGGTCAGAAGTGCTGGTGTAAGGTGAACTGGGTTTTAATAGGTTTCAAAGGCCGATGAGCAGCTCTGCTGTATTGCGTTCAGTGTGTAAATACCATCTGCCCTATCCATTTACCAGACCTGCAGTTCAGCTATTTACCATGGTGTTTCTTTTCACATATCAACATTCACTGTGTACATTTGGAAGTATAATTGCCTATTTAAATTTGTATTCATTTTATGTTTGATGATGCTGGGTACTTCAGGGTTGTATTTCCCCTTGTTAATGAAGTTTTTGTTTTGTTCAGCTCCTTTTTGTACATTTTGGTTTTGAGACTATTATGAGTTTGCATCTTCTCCACCCACTGAAAGTCGTTTTCTTTTCCCCAGTTGATTCTGTAGCGCTATGTAGTCAAATATTGGGGCAACCTCTAACACCTCAACATACAAACGTGGTAGTTCAGGTTGTGGTGCAAAGACTGATGCAGTCAACATGATTTCATTGCAAAGCCTAGGAACAGCAATTTTTTGCTTTGGTCCATAAAGATCAATAGAGAACAATTCTCTGTAGTTTTTGGAAAACCACCTAATTTATAACAATCAAAAGATTTTTGGTAAACTTTTTCATGCCAGATGCTGTTTACAACAATGAACATGCCAATAAAACATTTGTTCATTCTGTTGTGTTATTCTAATCATTAAATGCTGTGAGCTTTATTTGGAAAATTATGGAATTATTTCATGGAAGTGCAGGCTTTCCCAAGGCAATGTCAGAACTGCAAGGCTGCGTGTATCCGTGTGTGTATGTGCACACACCCCTGTGTGTACTCGGTGAGTGGTTTGTAGCCTCTCTGCTGCTCTGCTTTACTTGGATTCACACCAGATGTTGCTTCAACTGTAAGTTTCCTTTTCCAAAATTGAATTTCTCACTTGAACTGAATTCACTTCCTTAGAAGTGACACTTCTAAACTCCAAATTTGAGTGGCAGCTAAGTTCTGCTCCAGAGGAACAAGGGGTTTTGCTAACTGGAAGTTCAGTTCTTCCCTCCATGCTGACACAGAGAAACCCAAAACTCCTGAGGAATCTGGCAGCTTCCATGAATTCTGGAATTCCAGGAATTCTGCAGACAAATTTCCTCATTCTTCCTCTTCTGTTAAACCTGTGCCACCTCATGTCCAACATGGATGGGGTGGAAGCAGGAGGTAAGGAAGCATAGAGTACCATCCAGTAGGTAGAGCACTGTATTAAACTACTGTTTACATGTGTATGTAGAGTGCTGAAAGACCCTTGGAGGTTTTAGAAGAGGAAAAATTGAGTTATCAAATGGGCCATGAAATTTCTCCAACATTTGGAGAGCCGAAAATCTAGAGGTGGAATAAAGCGGGGGTAAGAGAAGAATTCCAAAAGCCAAAAATCTAGAGGTGGAATAAAGTGGAGGTAAGAGAATTCCAAAAGCTTGCAGGGGGTAAGAGAAGAATTCCAAAAGCCAAAAATCTAGAGGTGGAATAAAGTGGGGGTAAGAGAATTCCAAAAGATTGCTTAATCTCTAGCCCAATTTGGGAAACTTCCATTGAGAATTTCTTCAAAGAAGTTAATTTTAAATGTCAGTCTTGGCAGAAATCTGGATAGAGGACGGGGGTGGGGGACATCCTTGTAATGATTTCTTGTCTTGTGTTACATTTTCAGTGTACTGGAATATGTTCTGGGCTGTTTTGGGAGACGGTTTTCAGCATCTGCTTTACATTCTGATTATTTCAAACATTTTTGAGCTTGACTGTGGGCATTTTAAAGAAACAAAAAGCTTTACGTCTCTTAATGTACTTAGTTCAGCTGAAATCTCACTGAACTTCTGATGAGTACTAGCGCTTTATCTTCCAAGGATTGAGGTGTCAAGAATCTCGAAGGGAGAATGATGCTATCCTTACGTAGAGCAGTATTTACAGATACTTCCTGTATTCATTAAGTGTTTTTAACAGGATTGCAATGACAATGAATTCCTTCTCTTTGTATAGGTGGGCTGTCTATATGCACAGTAATCTTACTAGGGATAGAAAGGAAAGGTAAATTCAGTGAACTCTGAGAGCGTGTGTATGTGCTGGTGTGAGAATTGGTGGTAGAAATGGATCCTTAAATGAGAAGTCAGACTGTTCTGATGAAATATCCTTCCTGTTCATAATGATTATGGTTACTGAGTGTGGTACCCAAGGAATTGGTGAAAAGCTTTCATAGATTCGAAGTGGTGAAAGACTTGCAGGCTAGTAGCACAGCCTTGTAGCTGCTTTACTGTTCCAAATTGGACATAAGCGGTAGGGGTTAATGTGGGAAGATCCACAGAGTTACTTGGCTGGAGCCTCGTGTCATCTTTTACCATGTGCAATAACAGATGGTGATATCTATACCCCAAAAAATTAATAACTACAGCTATTGTAGCAACTGTTTGTTGAGAAGGGTGGGAGTTGGGGAGCTTGTGGATTAGATTTTTCTCTTAGCTTGTTACTGATTTCTTAAATCCCATGACCTCTTGGGATGGTAATGATAATCACATGTTGTAACAGATTGATGCCTATGAAGTGTATTAAGAGCACAAACCATTTTTCAGAGAATTTTCTCTGGGTGTAATAGCATTAAGTAGGAGAAGCACAAATCTCTAAATGCAAGAAGCTATTTAAGATGTCTTACTGCTCAGCTGAAGTAATGAATTCATATCCACAGTCGCTCTCTCTCTCACAAAGGGGAGGTGACGATGGAGTCAGCAGATTCTTTAATCAACATGACCCAGTCCTTCACTCAATGTTCATAAAGGTGTTTATGTAATGCACAATGGTGCCGTGTGTGGCACTGTATTTAGCTCTAGCTTAGGCCTACTCATAGCTGCAGCCGTGCCATTCTCCTGTGCATTGGCACTCCACATACTCAGTGCACAACAGAGAACCTGTTGGTTCTGTAATTTTAATTTTAAATCAAATATTTTGCCCTTGAGGGAGCGAGCCCTGAACAGTCACATTAAAAGTTCCTACATAGAAACCAGTACATGATATGAATGTAAGTAGGTACACTCTATTAATTATTTATATGGAAAACGCTGTAGGTTTGGTTTTGGGATTTTTGTTAGTGTTAGAGGCCAACAACCATTGTGTATGAAAGTCTAAAACCCAAGGGATGCTCCAGCTGTGGAACACCAGTTCTGCAAGTTACACTGAAGGCAGGGCAGATGGTGTCCACTGCACGCAGCTGAACAGCAGCTCTGGGTATATTCATCTAAAAGGGTAAATGTCCTTTATCTTTTCTATCCTTACGATGTGTGTATGGTGGGGGGGGACATGACATGAAAACCTGCATTTTGCAGCTTCGCTCATTGTATTTTCTAAAGAAAAAAACCCACAAAAATTTGCTTAAAATCAATCTCCAAAGTAGATGGTTCTTACCCTGAGAGAAAAAAAACAAACCAACATCAACATTTTAAACATACATACTTAAAGGTCACTTCTGCAGTTACTAATGTCTTAAGATTATTTATGCTTAAGTGTGTTTTTTAATGAGTACAGGTACTGATAAGTTTAAGGGGAAAGTACTAACCCAGAAGAAACACTGATACAGCTCTTCATTTGGCTTTGACAGCAGGTTTGGTCCAAGGATTGAGTGAATTCAACAAGCATTTAAACATGCAGGTTTGGTGCACAGAGAAGGATGCTCACTGAAGACATTGTTTATTGCACTTCTATCCAATGGTATCTGTTTAGGGTTTATATAAGCAAGACACTAGACAAAAATCTCTAGAAATTACTAAACTAACTAAACTGGTGTTTGGACTTTCAAATTTCATCTCCCAGAAACAGGTCACGAGCTGAGTCAGGCTCAGGCTTCAAACCTGCTTCGTCCTCCAGGCTTTCTAATTCTTTACGCACTTCCTGAATGATGCTGCTTTCTTCATAATCGGAAAGACTCTCTCTGGGTATCAAGCTGAGGAATGGCATCTCATCCATGATTAAGGGCTCTTCTTTTTCATTATCCCTGGTTTCATTGGCAGAGTGTTCACACACAGATGTAGCACTGTGACTGCTGGAAAGAGACAGACAATCTGGTTATATAGGACATCTTTCCATGTTCTTTTGCTAGTTTCTCAATAAAATTCTTCGTTCCCTCCCCACATGAAAGCACGTGAAATGCGCAATACTGTCAGGTCTACCATAGCTGACTTGATTGATAACATCTGATCTTTACATGCTTGACAGCTGGAGAGTTAAGGATGGGATTTCCACACACAGAGCTAGAACGAAGATCTTAATAACTAAAGATGTTTTATGCTGGGACACAGGATGGCAGTGGCTCTTCTACCTACAAGTGCTCCTGGTGACTAGGCCTTTCTGTTCATGTCACAATACCAGGTTAAGAAACATGATACTCCAGCTTAAAAGGAATGCAGAAAAAACACTGCTTGCTATCGAGCTGTAGAGTTGAGCATTACATATTTGATTCTGAACAGGGTGGTGTAATAGCTGTATTTGCTACTGCCTTTGTTTTGAAAAGTGGCTTCAGTTGCCTGCAAACATCCCACGTTGTTGTAGGAACTTTAAAAGAGAAGTTTGAAGAATGATTTACATTTGTTGATGGGAGGTGGGGGAGCAGAACTTGATCATGGTATCTGCTGTGCCTCTCTGCTGTGAGCAGGTCCCTGTGATAGGGCAAGGGGACCACTGCTAGGGCCAGGCCCCCTTTACAGCACCCTCTTTCATTGGAAACAAAGGGTGAATGAACTAAAGATGTTCCTGGATCTTATTTTGTGTGCATTTTGAGTTCTTGTGTTTTGCTTCCTATGAGCTTTAGGACATCCAGTTGTGGGCAGACTAATCCTGTAGGATATAATCTCCTGGTTTCAGTGTTTAGCACTCACTAGTAATATTTAGCCAGGGGCCATTTCAAGCAGAGATGGTCTGTTTCTTTAAAAAAATAAAAATTACCTGAATCTTTAAATTCACTGTGTAAATTCCCAGAAGCAGCTTTATCTTTCTGACCATGCGAGTCGTGGGTGTGTGTGCACACTATTACTGTGTGACAGTCCTAAACAGGTAAGTCATTCTTGTGATTATAGCTGGGTAGTTATAGTAGCACCCTGATTCATTTCTGTGTTTCTCTATCCCCATCTGTTTTCCTTCTTACTGGACATGATGTTTGCTGACATACCTTGCCTGAGGTTAATGGTACTCGCACGTGAATTGGAATGTTAGTGCTGAAAGGATGGGGTCAACTCTGCTTGCTTCTTTAGATCACAGTTATGGAACAATGTAATCCAGTTACTTTTTGTGCATGAAAAACCCCACAGAAACAGAGCTGGACATAGAGTAAGAGAGAACTATTAACCTACATCTTTATCACAGCTATGCTGTCTTGTTGAAAGTTAATATAATGAAAACGGTAGTGTAGGAGCAAACTTGGAGAGCTTATTTCATCGATAGGATGTAGGGTTTAGCACAAAACTGAAATTATTTCACTTTCTCCCAATGAAATCATTGATAATGCAAATAACTGTCCTTTTAAATAATGATTAAGGCATGAGATATTAAAAGTTTTGACTTCTAGCAGAAAACACAGTCACCCTGCTTCCTATTCTGTGAAACACTCTGGTACTGAAGAAGTCTGCACAGTCTGAAGTGTCTGAACAGCAGATCTGAAGTCAGCAGTAGGGAAACTGGCTTCTCAGGTTAGTTTGAAACTGAAGGACAGTGCAAGTAAAGATTATATTGTGATAGAAGTGATCTTCTGTAAAGCTGATCAGTAGTACAGGAAATGCCTGTTTATATGTACTGTGTGTATTAATATGTCTTTAATATAACTTATATATGAAGGCAAGCAAAATGTCTTAACCGAAGCCCAACCTAACAGAAAATTGGTGGACAAGAGCTGTATGTAGAGAATTAAAGTGGGAGTGATGCATGTGAACAACTGTTAGTACTTTCTGACTGATTAAAAAGCAGCACCAGCCTGGTTAATTTGTAAGTTTAGTTCACACTGGATTAACATGTTGCCAAACTCAATTAGACACATTTGTGTGGGGAAAAAGCAGTAACTTTGAGAAAGTTTCAGTGCTACTGATGAGAAAAGCTGTCAGAACAGTGAGGAAGAATATGCAAGTTCTGTACCTATCTACCACAGAAAGAGACCCCTCCAAACTTTCAAGCAGCTTGCTTGACTAGCTTTGCTCTTTACCTCTGAGGTTGGCAGCTCAAGCCACTTGCACATGGGCACTGCTCAAGTACTCCATCAGGCTCCAGTTCCCAGGTGATCAGGTTGAGAAGTCTGTTTGAAGGATCGTGGCAGGGCTCACCTTCTTCAGGTAATGGAGTGCACACAGGAAACAGCAGATCTGCATAAAACCATAGAATAGTCAGGGTTGGAAAGGACCTTAAGATCATCTAGTTACAACCTCCCTCCCATGGGTAGGGATGCCTCACCATGTTGCCCAAGGCTCTGTCCAGCCTGGCTTTGAACACTGCCAGGGATGGAGCACTTTCCACTTCTGCATGCCACAGTAAACTGATTTTAAGAGAAATGCTTAACTGCCTGCTATACTGAGCTGACCTATACACATGGTATAAAAAATCAGACTTGACCACTTTTTAAGTCCCCTTACATATGAGGGAGCCGTAATGTAATGTTCTTTCCACTAGGTGGTAGTAAGAGAGTGGAAGTTTATGCTTAATGAGCAAGATCGACTTCTGCTTCTTCTGGAAGAGACTACTGTCAATATAGAAGTACTGCACACCCCCATCCCTTGGAGATCTGTAAGACTATGCTAAACCCAAGAAAGTTAACGTTACAGTTAGTTGTTTGCAATGCAAAGCGTTAATGGTTTAAAACCTGAATAGAGAAATACCTGTAGTTTGGAACTCTTATTTTTCTTATTTCTTTGCAGTGGTACAAATACAGAGCAATTGTTAAGAGAATACATGAGGTTAGAAGAACTACTATTCAGCCATTTCATGTGTTGTAGTAATTCTGCAATAGGCAAAGCTGTCTGATGGCACTGGGGACTTGGTACCTTTGTTTCTGTACAGGGGTCCATTTCAACCTGTGTAACAGAATATGTAGAAGGCTATGCCTTTCGTGTTTCCCAGTGCTAGCAACGTATAGTGTCAATCTTGAATTCGGCTTTTCCAGATGTTCCTATCAAACCTCCCTTCCTCCTCTTGTCTTCATTCACTTCATTTTTTTTTGTGGTATGGCAGAATATAAAACATAAATTCCGAACTCTTCACGTATTTTAAGCAGCCTTGGTGAGAATACATGTATGTGTGTGTACACAGACACATGTACTTTGATGGGTATGACTTACTCCTAATTCCAAAACATTGTCTTAAGCAGCAAATGCTCCGAAGTTCACTACAGTTTTATTCAAAAAATACACATGTAAAGACACTCCAGTATTTGAGGACAACCTTTTGCAATACTAATGACAGAGAAAGGCCTAACCTGAAAAGCCCATATCACTGCTACATCAGACAAGCATAGAGAATAAAAATCCATTGCTATTCAAGGTTTTAACAGCTGTGTTCCACCAGCCCTAGTCACTATGCCTATCTATCGCATTGTTCCTTCCTGAGTTACAGGTTTGTACTAAACTCCATCTCAAGCCAAACACTAACTTACACTCAGTGTGAATGTCTTATGCAGTTCGAATAATCATCATGAAGACATGATGAAGCAGCTTGTTTGGATTCTGCAGGAAATCAGGGCTGCAGCAGCAGTACTGCCCTCACAGTAGACAGGCCAGTGGTACTAACACCAATGGATGCATACTACTAATATACTCATCTCTGCAGCATAAGTAGATACAAAGTACTGTGTGGTGCAAGTAATAGGCATTTATTAAAAGTGCCCTTTCTGTCTCATTTCAGAATCAGAGTACAATGAAATCTCTAATAGAGCTTGGCAAAACCTGTAACTGCTGTAGGCAGAAATCTAATAAAGAGAAAATAAAACTATTCTCACCAAACCTACTTATCATCGAAGGTCCGCTATGTAATGCTCAAAACCTGTAAGTGCTTTAGGCAGAAACATGATGAAGGGCTGGGGGGATCCCTCCTCTAACAGAGTAAGGAAAAAAACATCTAGAGAAGTATCTACTTGTGTGGAAAAATGGTTGGAATTGTATCCTATCACTGCAGAATTAAGGTGCGCTATGATAAAAACCATGAGGAACTAGTGGGTATAAAAGAGTAGAAGAAGCTGGGCCCTGACCAGACAGGATTTTTGGGACTGATTTCAGGCCTGATAACTTCTCCTCCTGTCCTACCTTCTGTAGATTAAGTTTCACATTCCCATGTGGACTGACAACATAATCTGGAACATAATTCCTCTATGTATCTTGGCTGTCTGGTCAGTACCACACAGCATGGTGCCTTGGAAGGCTGTCATAAAACTCAGAGTATGAACGTATCTGCAGTGTGATTCTGATGGTCTGCTTGCTGAGAGGAGAGAGAAGCCACATTCAGTAAATCTCATTCATTTCTTTTGGACATTTTTAGTTCTCTTATTTTTGGTCTACTGGGTGAAAATTTGACACTGAGCTCTGCTACTTTTAAAAGTGTGAGACTCCTTTGGAAAGAGCAGATTTTTGGGCTTCTCATGCTGTTCTCATCTCTAGTGTGCAAAAGGGTTTTCTTCGACTGCTGTGGACCTTTGTCAGACTTTTCTCTCTCCTTATTCTATTAAAGTTTTATAATGAAGTTACCACGGTGTGCTTCACAGGCCGAGGCAGAATAACCTGCTGATACTGTGGTGATTTAACCACGAGACCTGCGTAAAAGAACTAAATATAAATACTCCCACTCCGGTATGATAAAATGAATTGGATAAAAAGCCAAACCTCTGTACCTTTTTGAAAAGCACAGCATGTTCCAGGGTTGCAGTCATGTTGGTTCTCACAAATGGTGCCATTCTCTCCTTTAGAAATGGATTTCCTGCACTCACCCCAGACACAAAGCTGGTCTCCACAGCATTCAACATCCCGTGAGCAGTGCTTGCAAATGGAAAAAGCACAGGACAAAACTGTCACTCGAGCAGTAATTGCATACATCAACAGAGAGCTGAACATACAACTAGATCTGGTCCTGAAGACAACTGCATATATGTGATTTAAATGTATGTGTGTCGTGCTCCCACTTTTTAAACCAAACCGCTTTAGATTCTCAGCTTCAAGCATACATAGAACTAGTTGCCAGACAGGAAACTCTGCAGCAGAGTAACAGCACTCCTCCTATACTATTGTACTTCCAGTCCTACAAAACCTGAGTTCTTATTTTAGCATTTACATGAAAATTAATCAGGAGCCAGGCATCCTAAAGTGTAATGCAGATTTTAAGGCAGCCTTTTGCAATCAAGGGAAGCAGAAATTAACAAATGAAACATTGTCAATGAAAACACTACTGATTTGTTTGTTTGTTTTCGTTGTTAAATGCAGTCAGGAATTTACAATTTGTTCAGAAAGATGATTTCAAAGAGCACAGCAAAGAAACCTTACTAAAATCCATCTTTAGCTGTAATAAGAGCCAGGCCTCGTTGGGAACCAAGAATCTTTGGAAAAAGATCTCTGAAAAAAATCATCCTTGAGAATCAGAAGTGCAAATCTCTAGCTAGAGACAGCTGTGTATGACAACTGTCCCACTGCTTCACCTATACACACCTAATAACCCCACCTAACAGAAACAGGGTGTCACTTTCTCTTTTTTAGGTGGTTTGAGTAACATCTTGGGTTCCTAGTAGGTCAACGTTTTAACAGCTCTTTTCTGTCTGTCTGGGCAGCCATACAAAATCAGAATTCCTTGTCCAGTGGATCCCACAGGAAGTGCTGATCACAGGGCAAGGAGTGGGACTACGCCAGCACTAGTGAGACCTGCTAATTAAAAAGAAAAATGTTTTGCAATTGTGGGGGTTCTAGGTCAGGGAATTGGTCCCAGCACCTTCAGTCTGAGCTCACTTTACATCAGGAGTGTAGCTAGGACCCAATTTTTACTTTCTTTATCCTACAAATGTTCTTCTGAGGACTGCAAAGAAACCCAGGTGTTTGGTCACACCAATCTTGATTTTAATTATTCCATGTTAACATGAAAAATCAGCCATTTAACATTTTCTAAAGTATGAAGAATAAGCTTTCTTAATGACACTTCAGCATATACTCAGGACTTGTGTTTAAGCAAGCATTCAGCCCACTGAAGTCAATAGAGCTCCCTGAAGTTACCACGTATTTAAATCCTTTCAGGAACAGCCTGGTGCTTTTAGATTATAATAATCCCATTGGCCACATGACTTTACAGCAAGGCTTGCTGGCTTGTAGACTTAACTGTCTGCAAATGCTCTGAGGAATGAATTTGTTTCACAAGAAGCCATCAGCAGAACTTAGATGAAAAGGGACCCTCAGATAAAAGGCCTTTTTCAACAGACTGCTCTTAAACTGGATCTTCACCACAGAAAAGCCTGAACATCGCAGGCACCTGTGACCCACAGAAGATAACTTAACCATAGCTACTGCCAAGAACATTTACCTCAAAATACAGGAATTTACTGCTTCCTGATGTCCACAGATTCAAATACTGTAAATGATCCATGTGAGAGGATCACTTATGGTAACAACTGCACTACAGCACTGTACAGGTGAAGAGCACTCGCTGCTGCAACTCTCTTTGTGAATCAAGAGCTGGAAACGACCAGCTGCCGGCTGAGCCTCAGGAGCTGGCACAGCATTCCATCTTCGCCTGTTCCACTGGCAACCTACAGGGCGTTAGTTTACACTGTACTTAGGCCACCTAAGAAGTCAAGCTTAAGTCTGGAGGAGCAGAGTGCTGGTTTTGAAGCAAGTGAAAACAGAAATCTTAAAACTTAATTGAATTAACAGGCGGGAAAAAAAACACAACCCAAAACCCAAACAACCCAGCCCAAACCACTCTACACATCTATTTTTAACCTCATGCAAAAAGCTTTGCATCTTCTTTTCTACCAATTTTGACTTGCTGACATTAACAATAACTAACTCCTATATTGAGTTTCTAAAGACCACAGAAAATCACATCTCATTCAGGACTTACTGTATGCTGGGTTTTGCAGAGCTGACATTTGTACTCGAAGGTGGAGAACTGGCAGTATTTCCCTGTTTCACAGTCTTCATCAATGATGCACTCCTGAGGAAAAGGATGAAAGTAATTTGCCACTGTGTGACAGAAATCCATACCTCTTCAGATATCAGGTGGTCTGGATTGATTGTATTTCTTATTTAGGAACCAAGAAAAGCAGCTTGTTTTGGTTCTTCATACAGCCAGTTCTGTAATAGAACAATGCCATCTCCCTGGCATACCTAAATACTGTGGCCTCCGATTGCTAGATGGATTGATTTCTGGTATAAATATTAGTACCAGAAACCTCAAGAAAATAAATTATCTTGCTCTGCAGGCTCGAAGGGGGCTGAAGACATTTGTATTAAATCTACCCAGATTGTATTAGAGCACAGTTGTGATTCATTACTTGCTGGCTGTTTTTTTCAGACGGGGGCAAGACCAAAGGAAAGAGGCTACGCTACAGCAGTTGCAGCAGCCAAGAGTATCTTTATGCTCTGTGGGAGACCATTCTGCAATAGCTTTCTTGATCCCAGGCCAGGTAACTTTATGCTGTCCTCCCTTTTCTTCCCCAGCAACACTAGTGCAGACCCCGAAACACTGCAGCATGGTGAGCTTCCCTAAGCCAGCGAGGACAACCGTAGGGGAGAAATGTGTTTCCTTTTAATTGCTGTCCTTTGCAAGTGGCAGACAAGTTTTTCTTGGGCAATCTTTGCAGTGCAATTTTTTTGTGAGCAATAATTTCCATGCTGAAAAATGCAGTGCTGCTTTCCACAGGACTGGTAACATTAAACGTTCCTGGGACTTGATGGTAACAGCAGCACTACCTTACAGCCAGTAGATCTGGGAAGCAGTAGAGGTCATACACTGGTTGATTTCCTTTCCTTGGCTAATGGTGTGCCTCTCATGTACCTATCACCATAGCCCATCACCTGTGAGATCACAGCTGCAAATAGAATCATAGAATAGTTAGGGTTG